ACCCAGCCCGGGGGGGGGGGGGGGGTTGATTAAAGCTTTTTATGCTTTTTTTTTTTTTTGGCAGATGGCTGTCTAATTGAACTCTGCTTTTATAATTAGACTTTTATTTACAGTGTAATGGGGTGGGGGGGGTGGGGGGGTTGTAATAGCCTACCAACTTTACAAAGCAATACAGTTTCTTCCTGGGTCAAAGTGTTTGAGTAATATAAAATACAGTCTAGGAGGAGATTTGAAAATGAAAAAAACTTTCCAACCATTCTCACTTATTGTATGTACAGTAATACTGTCAGATTTCATTGTCACTTCATCTGTTTCTCCTACACAGCTTGTGAAAGCAAATGTATAATTCTGTAGCAGCCAAGGAGTCAGGACTCATGGGGACCAGTATGCATTTGTTATTGCACTTAACCTATTGGTCTTTATTAGATTGACTTCCAGGAAGCTAACATCCATTAGCTACACAGCTTATACTGTGCAGGGTCTTTCTCTCGTAGATGCCTCTTTCTAAATTAAATGTACAGATTATGCCCAAACAAAGCAATATGTAAATTTATTAAATATTCATAGCTTCCACATGGCATGTTCCTACACTCAGAAATGAGAGAGCAAGTGTTATTATTTTTAGGCAAAGCCATCACTAAAATAGCTTCAGACCCAAACAGGAAAGCCAGATGAATAGTGTCATATCTGTTCTGAAATATATATTTTTAGTAGTGTATACTTTAAAGTCTGGTGAAAGGAATACAAGTTTTGAAGTGGCTTCATTGTAACTGACCACAAATGAAATGAAGGCTGCTGTAATATACAGGGAAATGCTGTAAACTTGTCTCAAAAGAACGGCACTTGTCATTGTGTTCAAATGTTTCAAGTAACATATCTTGTGATTGTGCACATGATTGTCCTTGCAAAGGTTGAAGCAGTGCTACAGAAAGATTCAGATTGAAAGGAAATTATTAAATTGAGAAGCTGCCTCTACAAAGTGCATATGTTTGACATGCGATTCCATCTTGACCTTTACTAAGTATAGTTTAATTTCCTAAATGCATCTATACCTTCACCCAAAATTATGCACATCAGGAACAGTAAAATGGGTCAGTTTGGAAGGACATGACATACTGACCTATTTTGTGGTTTAAGTGAGAGCACTCGCTGAGAATATTGAATGAAAAGCCGATTTCCACTGGTTTGTGCTGTAATCATCCAGCTGCCATAAAACCAGTGACAGAGCATGGTCATGATCACAGTGACTCAGGAGAATTCATTACGCTGAGCCCCCTATTACTTGTAAAGTCTTAGGAACTTTGTTAAGTCGACTGTCTCCAGTATCCAAAAAAATGTTTTTTAGGGGGCACAGGGGCTGAACTGTCCTACATCAGGGTTGGGTGGTAGCCAGTGGCTCAGGAAATGATTAGTGAAGAATGGGCTGCGCTAAAGATCAGCAAGTTCTAGATGCAAGTGTGATGCAGTTAAGAACATGAATCTTCAACAGAGGCTGGCTTCTTCAGCAGGGCAGTGATCCAACACGCATCTCAAAATCCGCCATGATGTACATCAAGAAACAGCAGCTGAAGCTTTTGGAACAGCTCTCGGTGACATGAACATCACTGAGTGCTGTGGGTAGATCTGAAAGATGCTCTGCATGTAAGGCAGTCAAATATCTCAGAACCTGAAGCAGTCTGCAAAGATTCTATTTATTTTAGGTTCATGAAATGGGCAAATGCATTTATATTTGAAAAAAGTAATCTTTTTTCTTTTTTTATGTTTCTTTTAAAATCAACATGCCATTTGGCCAAACTTTTGCATACAGCTGCATTTGGAAGGAAGTGAGACGTCATATTTCTAATATCTTCCCTAAAATAGTCATGTAAAAATGGAGTGGAGTAGAATGAATGGCAACTTCAGTGACGCACCAGGCATGAATATTGAGGTATGTTAGTGAAAATGAGATGTAGCCCACGGACTCTTCTGAGGAACGGCTCCAGACAGAATTCCCTGTGTTCATTTTTGTTAATTTATTCATTGCATTGCACATCGGAGCCATATTCAGGCCATTTGTTTGTCACTGTGGGATGCTTTACCCCAGTTCCTCACCTTTTCAGAAACTCCATATACTCTGTGTGCTTGATGAGACCGGTCCTCATCATGATCGTCTGAAAACATTGTCGGTCGATGGCCCACAGCTTCACATTTGTTAGAGCTGGCAAGAAGAACATACACAATCAGTCATGAAAGTTTTCATACTTGGGCAATTATAAAGCGGTATTTATACATGCAATGTATAAATATATGCATTTTAAAGTGATAGAAGACTCATTTATATGATATAAATACATTAATTTAAACTAATACCCTGTTAAAATCACTGTTTGGCAAGTGGGTTGGAGAAATCTGCAAAGCTTATCCATCATCCAAATATTTTCTATAGCTGTGGGTCAAGCCTAGGAGGGAAGAGGTATTTTGGACAGTTGATCTTTATTCAGCAGTTGGAGTTTTAGTATTTTTGGAAGACCTTGCATGGATGGTTTGCTTCAAGTCATGCTACAGCATTTATAATTAGCCTAAGGTCAGCAGTCTGACTTGAAGGTTTTTATTATGGTCCAAGCCCTTGAGTTACTGATTGCTCTTTATGCAAAGGGCAATTATGAAACAGTATGACAAAAGTAAGTTTCAAATCACAAACAGCTACCCTGATATTCTGGACAATTTGCTGGAACAGTTTGGAATTAATTGTTCCCCCAGTGATTACAATCTGTGCAGGCCCCAAGGCATGCACGCTAAAATGTAACACACTCTACACATGGAGAAGATTGATGTTAAAGTTTTGGTATGCAGAGTTATATATCTCCTTGTCATTTGTAAGTGGGGCATTAGACCGGCAGCAATACTATGTAGTTGGAGAGCAGTTCTTTTATTGTATCTTCCCATGACACAAGTTTTTTTTTTTTCTTTTTTAAGTCATTTATTTTGGACAAACTGGAATTTAGTGAGTGAACAACATGCCCAGTAAGTTTCTGTTATGCTTCACTTCTAGCAGAAACAGTGCTAAAGCTTTTTTTTTTCCTCCTCCAATATTTATGCTTGGCTGTAGATTGATGGAAGCATGGGCCTTTTTGAAATTTCCTTTCATTACAATTTTTTGTGTTTTGAGCTTTAACAATCCATTTCTTTGAGGTCCTCTGTAGTCAGTTTTGATCAAAGGATGATTCACCTCAACAGATGTCTGTTGTTAGGAGCACTTTCTGTTGGAAACCAGGCCATGTGGGTTTTCATCAGAGCAATGGACCCCTAACCCACACCTGAATGTCATTACGTTTCTCAATTCAAACCTGTTTTACGGACGGAATTGGGTTGTTGGGGCAGAAACCTAACGGAACCTATCAAAGCTCCACACTTCATCTAACTGAGCTACATTACACTGATTCTCAAAGTTGAATGCATCACTTTGTTAATAGCAGTCTATAATAATTAAAGAAATAACTAGTTCTTTTCAGTCACCAGAATGATCGTTCTGCAGGAAAAGGCTCTTATTTTGACTTCAGTGCTTCAACTATGCAGTGGTGCATTAGACCAAGGAATAATGAGGAGGAAGATAAAGAACATCCTCATCCTGACCCCAGAATAAATCTGGAGATCCCCAGAGAGGTCTGTTGCCACAGGGACATGTAGTAATATTAGAAAAAAAAAATCATCAGATACAGTAAGAGGCTACTTGGTGTTTTGTCCAATTGTGTGTGTCTGTTGTTAGACCTTGTCATTATATCTCATTTTCCTGATCTGACACTTGGTTTTAGCTCTAAAGCATCAAGTTTTATTAATAATGGGGTGGTGGTTGATTTTAGAAAATTTTCTAAAAAAGGTTTGCTTGCTCAATAGTGATGTAACAGTACAGGTGAACTGGAAAATCTCTACAGCTGATGAAAATCTGCGTTTCACTTGCAGAGGATGATTTCTGGGCCTCAGTCTACCGTTTATCCTTGTGTAAGAAGGAAGAGCTTTTTGCTTTGTACGGTGATTATGGCCTGCTGTCATTTCCCAAAGAAAATATTTTTGAAGTGATTTTTGGTTGAGGATATACACTCGCTGTTGTCTTTATCAGGTACACTTGTACAATTGTATGCACTTCAATGCAACACTTCCGCCTTAACATCTGTGTTTATGAAGCTCAGTGTTTCAGATTTTGAAACTGTCATCACTGTTATATGTTCATTACTGAGGTCATAGTTAAAGGTGGTGTTGTACTGGACTACATTATATTCAGAGGTGTTCCTAATATTCTGACCCCCTCGGGTATGTCAAAGGGCAGGACAAAAATATACAGAGACCTCTGAATTTAATGTAGTCCAGTACAACACCACCTTTAACTATGACCTCAGTAATGAACATTGAATTGATACATGTATGACAATCTCACCAAAAACTGAAACATTGAGTTTCATAAACACAAATGTTAAGGCAGAAGTGTTGCACTGAAGTGAATACAGATGTACAGGTGGTCATAATGTTGCGCCTGATCGGTGTATGTACATGTACAGCTTCATGAGTGACTCATGCATTCCGCAGACATCACAAATCTTTTTCTCTGTGGACCAAGGGTTTGGCAGCACTTTAAAATAGGGCCAAAGCACAGGAGAAATGTCCTCATTACGTAGCCTGACACTGTTTTTACACTTACTGGCACTTTGTTGGAGCAGGGGCAACAAAACACACAGCATGACACAAAAATGTATACAGACACAGGTGTTATAGATGTTCTGCATAAGCATCCACAGATGAGATGGAAAGGAAGCACAGCTATATGCAAATATTTTTTTTAGATGTACTGTAAACACACCTGCTGCTACGTACACACACACACACACACACACATATATAAACATGCAGAAACTCACAAACTTTAAGCAATCATCTTGCACAATAAGAAAAAATGGAAAACTCTATACTGTGAAATAATGTCAACACTGCCACAGTCCAAATTCACATGTTCCACAGTATTGCTTTTCTCCTCCGCCTTAAGTTTTTTCCGAGGGTGGTGGTTTAAAAACAAAAAAACAATCAACCACATCTAGCTCTGGTTATGTTTTACATCCTCTCAAAGGTTATTTCTGTAGGGGAGATGTGACCTCATGGTAGGGACAAATGAATACAATAGACTGCAGACCCAACAAACCTGGTATATGGTGGTAGGTCTAGTGAGAAATTATTAGAACAGCCTTCTTATCTGACCCTGGAGCAACAAGAGTGGGAGTTTCGACGTCATTGCCCAATGTGGGGTGCAGTGGAGTGTCTTTACAGAAAGTGGGAGTATGGGGCACTGGGAAATAAGATATGTAGAGAGGCCACAGAGCACCTCAGTAGGTAAATGTATTGTTCAGGGGCCTGACTAAATTGCCTTGAGACTCAGGGAGCTAGTTATCCTGTTATGAGGGCGCAGATTAATGTTTTAATGCTCATGGGTTGCTGACCGTTAGAGTAGCTTCACAGCTTTCTGGATGCATATAAAACCTCAGGCTGTGCTGGAGATATGCCAGGATGATGTCTGTGAAGGGTTGGGAGGAACAGGGCAGTGTGTTGTTCCAGTGGGATGATCACTGGAGCTTTAACAGTCATACAGTGGCAGAATGCAATCCAACAGTGGCCTGACAATAAGTATTACTTTGGCAAACTGGTAGTAAACATGGTGAAGTTTGGTTCCTCCACATTTCATCATAGTGCAACAGCATTATATTGCCTACCTGATGTAATGCATACTATATGCTGCACATGACAAATGCATTGAATTATTTCAGTGTTACTTTTAGCACCAGTCTTCTTAGTCAGTGAATGTGATCATTAGTGTTTTCAAATTTCAGTGGTATCTGTTTTTGTTGTGAAGTAGATACAGTGGCAGAAAGTTTGAAATATATGCATCCACTCTCCTTTATGGCCTGAGTGCAACGCACACACATAAAAATTTGATTTGTCAGTGCTGCAATAGTGGCATGAAGTGCACAAGCCCCTGTGGGCTTACAGTGGAAATAATGGATCCTGGTGTTTTCATGTGTGTCATGTGCTGCTGCACTTCACTGTTCATTACATATCAAACAGCTCATTATGACAGTTCCTTCAAACATCACAGCTTTTGCATGTTCATGTAAGCTGTGTTAACTGACAATCTCTATTTAAAATTTTGCTTTTTAAATTAAATTCACCTCAATATATAGCCTGCTGACTACAGTTTAACACCCATCTTTACTATGCCCCTGAAACCTCTTATAAATTGAATATAATCCCACTTCATTGTAAAAAATGGTTCTTCATAACCATGCTGCCCCCAGCCATTTGCTTGTGCTGGTTTTCCTGCCCTCTCCTTGATGTAGTGATTGTAATCCCTCAGCTTTAAATTTCTCCCAGTTATTTGCAACAAAAGATCAAGCCAGGGTTCCCTGGAAAGCTATAACCTTTTATGCAAGTTTTCCAGTCATGGAAAACATATTAAAGTCAGGGAAATTGTTCAGTGTTCTGAAAAGCAATGTGTTGTCCTGGTTAATAATTTTGACATTGACCATTTTGCTAAGAGGCAACAGTGAGATGGTGGGCTTTTAAATGTATCCTGAATCTTGCCAGTTTGGTGAAGACACCATGTGGTTTTTGAATCGCTGTCAAAACCTACCATACAAGACTGAGTGAGCTAATGAAATGCTGTTGGCTGCTAACACACTTTACTTATAATGATATTTATATTTCAAGACTCCACCCTTGTAGGATTATTGTTAATCATTTAAACAACAAGATGATAACACCTGCTTAGCTTATATGAAATGTTTGGTTTGGATGATATGTATGCTAGCTTATTTAGCCTGTGTGTCAGGTTTGTGATTTGAACAGTGTGTCCATGTGTGCGAGTATGAGCATCTATTCCTAATTTTATATAATTTATTGTGGCTTGACCTCTGAATTTATAATTCATGAAAAGGCATAGAATTCAGTGTTGGTCTACTGTCATAGGCTGTTTGCATATCACCATGATAAACAGAATATCAGGCTGCAGCCGACACTATTATTGATTAATTTGTCAGTAATTTTCTGTTAATCACTCAAAAAATAGTTGAAAGGAGGAGCAAATCTCCCAGACCCCAAATGCTCCCAGACATTTAAATGCTTGTGTTGACTCGCCACCAGTTCAAAACCCAAAAGACATTTGGTTTACATCTGACATAC